TTTCTTGTGCTTTCAAGTTTTTAATCCTTGCAAACAGTTCGGCACCAACAGCCATTGTCATTTCTTTTGAACTTGGCAAATAAGAGAAAAAAACTTGCACATACTTTGGAAAAAAATAAGAACAGAAAAAAAAAAATCAAGTGATTGAATTAAATTTAATTGATTTATATAATTATTTTTAAAATATGATATCCATTAAATTTAAATTTAAATCTTAAATTTTTTAAAAAAATTTATTCTCATATTGCAATTTTTTTTATATTAAAATAATTAATCTAATCATTGAACTACATAAATGTGTTATTTTTTAATTTAATCATTAAATTAAACTTTTTTTTCTTATCAAATGAAACGTAATTAACCCACTACTATTGGAGACAAAAGAATGAAATCAGAAAAAGCCAAAAAGTTTGCTCTATCTTCGTATTGAGTTTTGTTTAGTACCATTGAAATTGCCAATGCTAATTGCCTGATGCTCCCATATTTATTTTTTTCTTTATTGTTTCCACTTCGTAAGTGCTTAGATCATTGACTAGTAATGGTTCACATCATAACGTTTGGAATAATTGTTTAGTATTGATTTCTTATTCACCCAGTTCATAATTTGAAGCATTATTATATATACACTAATACAAGCATGCACATAGCACCCATATAAACGTTTAGGACAAATGAGCATTTTCATGAACCCATGTAAATATTTTTGTTGGGAGATTCATTAGATCCCATCTTACTTTTTAAATAATTTAAATTACACATGTATCATTGTATTTTTTTATTCAAAGAATTGAGTTTGAATGAATATAAGGTTTGGTATAGACGTTTAGATAAATTTCTTGTAAAATTAGTATTCTAACACTAGCATTTAAATTCTCCGTTTTTTTTTTCTTCTATATTGTGATGTAAAAAAAGTTGACTTTGAAATTTTCAAATTTTCAATAAAAAGGTTAAAATTTTTAAGATCAATTTGGTAAACATCTTACTTGAGAACAAATAATCTTAATTGAAATTAGAAAGTCAAGAAAAGTGCTTGTGATGTATTTATGATTTTATAGAATTACTTAATCCTTTAGTAAAAAAGGATCTTGTAAAAATGCTTTTGCAAATTATGCAAAAAGTTCTTATACTATGAAAAATTGAAATTTAATTTATTTACTATAATTTATATAAATTTAATTATCGTATTGTTTTAATTTAAAATTTTTGTTTAATTATTAATTCTGTCAATTTTTTGCCATTAAAAATGTTGACGTGATATTTGATTTTTTGATGTGACATTGATTTTTTGACGTGACAATTGAGATGAATAAAATAAATTATTAAATTATATAAATAATCATTGTGCTTATTTGAAATTTGAAATTTAGTCATTATACTCACTTGAATTTTGAAATTTAATCCCTATACTCCTAAAAATTTTAAAATTTAATTCTTTTAATATAAAAAATATTTTGAATTTTTTAGAAAATTTATAATTTTTAAAAGATATTAAAATTTTAAAATTACCACAATGTTTTGTCACAATATTCTATCACAATATAAAAAAAAATCACATTTTTCAGTCACAAATTTCATATATTGTCACTAAATTCATCACAATTTTTTATCACCTATGTAAAATACTGTTGCTAATTCCATCACTATTTCTTGTTATTAATTTTTTCATATTTTCTATCACAATTATAGTATATTGGTATTGTATGAAAAAAATCTTACACAAATTTATTAAAAATTTATCACAAATTTGTCAATATATGATACAAATATGTCACAATCTAATTTTAATAAAACTATTATTTTTATTAATTTATTAAATGATTTAGAATTACAATTTCATCCCATAAAGGTAAAATTATCCATCAAATTGTGTTTTTATTCCTTTAAATTAAGTCATATTTAAATGATTTTTTATATTCAAGATTCTAAATACATTAAAGTAATTTATTAAACTCAATGTGTATTAGTTTCATAATTAACTTTATTATTTAATTCAACATAATTATTTAAATAAGTTCTTTTCATGAAAACTAAAAAAAATTGAAAATTCTTATTATGATACATGATATTAATATTTCAATTTATCAAATAAATTATTTTCTCATTTTATTTTGTTAGTATTCAAAAGTCATCATTCAAATATATATGAATTCGTCTTTGGTAAGAATTGATGTTTGAATATCTTATTTTGTTTGGTTAAATGGAATTATCATTCCATTCATGATCTATTTCAAGTTCATTACAAATGGATCTCTATTCAATACTTTGGTTTATTATAAAATATACTTAATTTAATTAAAATAATATTAACTTTGATATACTAATTTAAATTATTAATGTTTAATTGATTAATATAAATGATAATAATATTATTAATAGGATACTATTAATAATTAATAATATATTTCTAAAATATTTTTATATTAGAAGGACTAAAATATTTTTAAAATTTAATATTTTTAAGAACCAAAATATTTTTAAAATATTCAAAATACTTTTTATATTAGGAATTAAATTTTAAATTTCGTGTGAATATAGAGATTAAATTTTAAATTTTGTGTAAGTAAATATACAATTTACATAATTTAATAACTGATTTTATTCATTCAAATCAATATCACATCAACAAAATCAACGCTTAAATCATCAAGCTAACGGTCACATTAATATTTTTAATGATAAAAAATTAATAAAATTAGTAATTAAATAAATATTATTAAATCAAAATAAGAACTAAATTTATAAATTACATTATAGGAATTAAATTCTAAATTTTTACAAAATATAAAGACTTTTGGCATAGTTTGACAAAAAAATTTAGTGGGTAAACCTTCAGTCAGTTTTGCTGAGGTAACAATGAAGATAAAATAATGTCACTTATTACAAATAAAAAAGAATTTTGCTTAATACTTAAGTAAGATGTTTAATTAGATGATTTACTCAAAATTGGAAAGTGTTATGCAAGTCAATCTTTAGCCTAATTCTAAGGGAAACTCATTTGGTGTGGTCTTTAGCCTAATTCTAAGGGAAACTCATTTGGTGTGGTAGCCTTTCACCATTTCTTTAGCTGACATATTGTTGCAATTCATTTGTAGATTATTCCAAAATAAGATATAGACATGAAAACTATAGTCATCGATGATAATCATGTGATTTATTAATAAAATATTAAATTTTTTATTTTAATAATTAAAATTTAAGTTCAAAGAATAATCTAACATTCCCGAAGGATTTAGAACTTTAGGAACAAGTTTGATAGCAGTTGCATTTAGAGCCTGCAGCAGCCTGCTAGAATTGAAAAAATGGAATCACTGAGGGACGACTTTTGCCACTCCAACGAACCATAGAAGAACTAGAATCTCACGCCATGAAAAGAGACAGAAAATAAACCAACCCAATGATCATTAGATAATCCTTCATTGTCAGGACTTTTCTTGAAAACAAATATAAAACTCATTGGATTCAAAATTGATTCTAGCCTTGTTAATTTCCCAATGAGTAATTCTATCTTAAATTCTTAATTTATACTTAAATTTTTTATTTTATTATTTATCTGATTAAAAAAAATTATATGTATAAATTTTTTAGAATTCTCAATTTTTAAATATCAATTGATTTAATGAATAATTAACAATTTTAATCGATCTTTGATTTTTTTTTCTTTCGGAAATCATCTCCAATTTGAGTAAGCTCACCAATCATCTTCCAGCAAAGGATGGAATCACCATCCCTTTAAATCATCAACAATTATATTTTCATAATTCAATAAAATCTCATGATGCAAAAGAAAAATCTCATGAAGGGTTCAAGGAAGACGCTGACAAATGAAACGAAGATTCCATAGCTGACTTGTGTAAAACGTGGAATTCTACGTCATGGCAAAGCTAACTAGTACAACAATTATCTCTGCCCATAGCAATACGTTAGAAACAAAGAAAAAAAATCACAAAAATAAATTATTTTTTATAATATGATTAAAAAATTTGATTAAGCTATTGCAATCTAATTAAAAAAAATTATGTTCTTATCAATTGTATTAAAAATAAATTTATTATTCATGCATAAAAAATTAAAAAAGTTCCATTATTTTATTCTAAAAATATTCCCATATTTTGTCCGATCCATTAATCTTACAAGAGGGTCCTTGTAATAATCACCCACCAAGCTCGACAAAACCGCCTTTCACTGTTCACCCAAGTGGGTCCCTTGAAGATAGTCTTTTACAATTTAAAAGGGGTATCCAACATCATCCCCATCAATTTCACATGAAGGTCAGAGATTATGATCTGGTGTTTCTCTTCCTATTTTATTGCTAAAACCCAATACAAGTCCTAGCTTTTCTATGATTTTTTTTTCTAGTTTGGATCTTTAGATTTAATTTTAATAATTTTAAACATGATATATAAAAATAATGTATTTTAAAATTTTAAAATTTGACAAAGCTAAAAAGTATTTTTATTTAAAATATTAATATAAATTATACTATGATATTTTTATATTATGAATGTGTTCGATACAAAATATATATGAGATAAATATATAAATTATATAAATTAATTTTTTATTTTATGTTAATAAAAAAATTATAGTATTTCTCAAATATTTTATGATTTACTTTGTCGTAGATCTTGATTATATTTTATTTTGATATTTTTCACTTAAAAATTTGCAACTATATATACAACCAAAAAATTTATGTTTTTTAGACCGTTTTTCATCTCATTTTTTAGTGAATAAAATTCAGGGAATTATTGACAAACTAAATTCTGAAATTTTTTTAGTAAGTGAAAAGAAAATTCATATAAAATCTTTTGAATTTGAGTAGATAATGCATGTATTTATATTTGTGTTAACTATAAATTTAATTAAATCTATAAATTTTAATAAATAATAAAAAAATATTTTTCTCTAAAATAAAATATTTTCCCTTTTTTGGACAATAAATAAAAATTTTCCTACAGCCAGAAGAAATTTATGATTTAATCTGATCTAATTCCATCAGAACAAAAAGTTGGTCCCACATGCAAATCTGACCGTCCTCCATTCCCCATCAACACTCTAAATTCAAGCTCCAACCAACACCAAAAACACCCAAGCTTTTCCCTGCTTGACCCACCAACGGCCCTGCAAACAACATGCGTTTTAAAGGGTAAAGGGTCGAGAAGAAGAGAAAGAGAAGACTGCTCCTCACTGCTCTTCTTTGATTTTCCCCATTTACAAGCTTAAATTCTAGGGTTTGTATGATTGCATTACAAATTGCAACTCTTCTTTTTTAAAAATTTACCCCTTCTTTTTGCAGTGGCCACTTTTTGTTTTAGACACTGTTAAAGAAGAAATCATGAAATTTCCAATAACCAAACAGGACCTAATTCCGTGTTTCATTTTCATACGCAGCTCATATTTCACTTTCTTGTAATATTTCCCACTCCAAGATTTCATCTTTGTCTCTTTTCCTTTCTGGGTTTTCTTACAAATAGAAAAATACTTGTTCTTGCAAGAAAAAGATTTGATTTTTCGTTCATTTCTTGTACATCCCAACCCCTAGATTATACTTATTTGCTTTTTAAAAGCCCCCGTTTTGGATGCCAAAATCTACTGAACCTGAAGATGGATCTGAATATAATACAGATATATTGAAGATCCGTTCTTTTAACCTTTCTTGGCCTTATCTAGCAAACCCCATTTATCGTTCGACCTATTTTATTGCTTCCATGAAGAGGTCAGTTAGACCCTTAATAAGCATTCTGATGCTTGTTGCGTTGGCTGCAACCTTAAGCTGCCGGATTGCTATCCGCCAAGGAGGTATCTTTACTGTTTCAGCTGAGATGGGGTCCACCAGTGTCCAAATCCAACCCCCACCAATCCAAAATTTTAACTCTACTTTCCTCAAGTTTGCAGCCACTGATATAGGTGAAGAAAAATCAAAACTTGAAATAGAGCAGTTGCTGGAAGGGAACTTTGATAGTCAAGGAAGGTACAAGACTTTTGCAACTTGGAGGAGGTTCAATCATCATGATGTCAAAGCCAGAAATTCTAATGGATTACATTTACCGGTAATGCTCAGGTCCCCGAAATTTTATCGGTATTGGTTAGATTTTAGGAGGAACTTACAAGACTGGGCAAGAAAAAAGATGTTTCAACCTGATATTATGATGCATTTGGTTAGATTAGTGAAGATTCCTATAGATGGCCACAATGGTTTAACGAGTTCAGATGAAAAGTATAAATCTTGTGCTGTCGTTGGAAATAGTGGAATTTTGTTGAATAGTGATCATGGGGAGTTGATTGACAGTCACGAGGTTGTGATTAGATTGAACAATGCTAGGACTGAGAGGTTTGAAAATAATGTAGGATCGAAAAGTAGTATTTCATTTGTAAATAGCAATATTCTGCATCTTTGTGCTAGGAGGCAAGAGTGTTTTTGTCACCCTTATGGAGGGAATGTTCCTTTGGTTATGTACATTTGTCAACCAGTTCATTTCATGGACTACTTGGTGTGCAATTCGTCTCACAAGGCGCCTTTGTTGATTACAGATCCTCGTTTCGACATGTTGTGTGCTAGGATTGTGAAGTATTATTCAGTGAAACGATTTGTGGAGGACACAGGAAAATCATTGGGTGAATGGGGATCTACTCATGATGGTTCTATGTTTCATTATTCCTCTGGAATGCAAGCTGTTATGCTAGCTTTGGGAATTTGTGACAAAGTTAGTATATTTGGATTTGGGAAATCAACTTCTGCCAAGCATCACTATCATACTAATCAGAAGGCTGAACTCCAATTACATGACTATGAGGCGGAATATGCATTCTATCATGATTTGGTGAATAATCCACGTGCAATACCATTCATTCCAGACAAGTTCAGGTTCCCTCCCGTGGTAATCTATCAATGATTTTGGCCAGTTGAATCTTCTGCTTTTATTGTCCTTGTTTTTCTTTGTCAAGGTTAAATTGTTGTATTCATGTTGTATCTGCAGTTTTCAACTAGATAGTCGAAAAGAAACACAATTGCTGAAGATCTCTGTTTCATATTTTGGCCCTGCACTATCAAAGGTAGTTTAGGGTAATACGAAATATAAAATTGGAAACTAATGTGAATTAAGATTTGGATTTTTCATTGCTTTTTGTTGAAATTGATTTGCATATTTTGAAAGTTTTTTCTGATGCAATTTTCCTTTTCTGTTAGCCATCATGCATCTATGTTGTGATCTTAGGCTTCAATTATTTTGATCTAGAGGACTGCTTTTTAACTTTTATTTCCTTCTTTCAAGATCAAATACTCCGGAAAATTTGCCTTTCATTCCTGTCTAAATCTAGGCGTTTATGTAGCATGCCTCTACCAAGGAAATTCTTGCTAGTAACTTTTAGCAGTGATTTCTTTGGGTTGAATTTATTCAGATTCATGTAGTCATCTTTAAAAGATGACATTCGGCAGTTCTAAATTTAAATCTTGGCACTTATAATATTTTCTGAATAGAATTTGAGATGTAGACAATCTATGAATGCTGTGAATATGACTCCAGTCAAAGTATTCACATTGGAACCAAAATTCACACCCAGAGCTGTTATCCCCGCATTTGTAACTATTGCCCGAATGGTTCATCTCTGTTTGAACTCTTTTAATGGATATATAATAAATCAAGTAATAGAGTTCTATTAACCTAACACAAGGGAATGGTGACAGGACAAGCATGATTTTCATAGACCCATATATTCTCTTCTTGCTTTTCGGTTTTAACATTGTATTGTGATTGAGACTTCGCTTAAATTTAAGAATTACCCTGACTGTTCTGCTTCAACTAATTGACTTAATAGAACTAATCCTATATTGCCACTTCCCCTCTTCGGCTGTTTCTAGGCCAAATTTGTAGATACTTTTAGATCACTTTTCTTGTTCTCTCGAGCATCCCAGTGGCTTATTACAGGCCCTCATGATTGCAAAAGTGTTGTTGGATCTATGTTTAAGACACAAGTAATTGAATGTGTTAGGAAAATGTTAATGGTTGGAAGTTGTTAATCCCTTTTTCCTCATCAAGTATAGAAATGATAAAATTGCAAGCAATATCTTTTTCATTCTTTCTTTCTATATGGGCAAACTCAGACTTTTCCTTTGGTAGATATTTTCATTCTTGTTTATGGGCATGCTCATTCTTCTCTTCTGGTTTAGGGAAACTGCTCTCGGAGCTTATCAGACCATTGAGATGCCCTTTTTAAAAAGAAACCCGGCATTTAAAAAGAATGATTGAGATTAAGTGAACCAACTGAACTATTTTACTTGCCTCGTACTTTCGTGGTTGGCCAGGATATCTGTCAAAAACATGGATGAGAGAAATGAAAGTCGGCCACTATAACAGCTTCTATTACAGCGATGTTGAGAGTTAATTATATACAACAAAAGCCATAGACATCCCTTTACAAACCCATAAGAGAATCATCTTTCCCACCATCCGTATAGCAAAAGTTAGAAAAAGAAGGGCACCTACAAAAACCCCCCTTGGGGTTTTGTTTTTTCTCCTTTAATCCTCGGTGTCCATCACGTGGCCTTTTTTTCATATTTCACCCCCACCAAGAACTTTATGCTCGCCTGTTGTCAGAGAATATAAACAAAATTTTAGAAAAGTTCATAGAAATGAATTCACAGATCAAATGGTTTTAGAGATTACTATGAATCTCTTAAGACATACCTGTTTGGGATCATAGACAGTATACTCTTTATACTCGAGAGGGCTGTCCTTGTGTTTTGAGGGGATCAAACGACCGCATGGAACATTGATGTCACCTTTCCAAACTATAAAATCTGATTCATCTGGTTTCTTTCTCCCCAATCCCTTCACACCAATCTTCTTCTCTTCTAATGACTTTGTATGCGGTTCAATGGTGACAAATTCAGGGTTTCATGAGGATTAAAGAAATGTTTTAATATAGTATCAGAAACCTAGCAGCCATTATATACCTCGGGTGAGTTCTTGAGCTATATAATTTCTTCGCCTTGAGAAACCACATCCAGAACCAAAAATCCATCGGCCCTGTCTGCAGCAATGAAGCCACACCTGGCAGCTTTTGCCACAGCATCAGAACAAACAATGCCTTTTCCAAACTGTTACTATACAGTGAAATTCAATAGCGTGAACAGTGTTTAAACCGCAATATGATGAAATTTATAGTTGGAAATTCATTTACCATGTATCCTGGTACTGGTAGAGAGCAGCTTGCTGGCAGTAAGCCTTTATGCGACTGTTAAGGTGCTAATTGGCAGTATGGCCAAGTCCTCCATATCTTACATCCACTTTGTCATCCTATTCAGTACAACAAAAACAATTAGAAAAAGCATCTCATATAGATACATCCTAAAAGAAAAAAAATTTAGCACAACTGGAAAGAAACGAGATTTTACCATGTCTATGGGATAAAGCTTCAATGGCTTCTGAAACTTCTTCTCCATTCCCATGGCTCAAACTTATTACCAGTTATTTCTTTAAAGAGCATGACAAACTCCTTCAAAGCACTGTCTACGTTCTTCCATTCCTCAAGCCGTTCCTCAGCGTCAGGATCATGGCCTACTCTCCCTTTCTTGCAGTATAAGTGGAGGTTACTCTCTGGGACCTTGATCAGTTGCATAATACAATGAAGCTTTTTAACCAGCAAGTGTAACAGAACAGAAGGGTCATATAGAATTGCAAAAGAAAATTTGCTAGATTACTCATTGATGCCTTCCTTGATCACAAAGGGAACAAGCACAGTTCTACAATATCCCATCTTTCTCAAAGATTTGGCCACCTTGCTCCTGCAATTTGGTATCCTTGTGGACTTCTCTTTTTCATATAGTTTGAGCTGCAAGCAATTAAATTACAGAATTGAGACAAATCATCTATTTTTCTAAAATATCCTCAAATTTGTCTAAGGGAATGCATACTTCTGCTGAAAGTGATTCAAGGGCTGCTTCTTCAGGATCTTGTTCACCCTTAGGAATTTGTTGGGGGGCATTTAATGGTTAAAAGAGTATGTTGGTCTTTCTCCCTCTTAGAGACCTGTGGCACATAGCCAAGAGTATTTCAAACATTTGTGTGCCGACCTGACATGCTTAGTGCCATGTCAACTCGACCACGTCATTATTATCCCCCATTGGTCCCTTGCCTCTCATCTATAAATATAGACATCCAGGCATCGTTAAGGTAGGTTCTCCCTAATCCTAATTCCCTATACTTCTCTCTTTTGAACATTTTCTCTGACTTGTGCATCAGAGTGCAAATAGAGAGAATATCCCTTGCCTTTGCTTGTAACTGTTTTTCTCTTTTGTCTTTTAGGAACACCCTCATGTCGGAGATTGGCACAAACATTTGACGCACCAGGTAAGGGATTTTCCATTCATTAGCCGAGCACAAACAATGCCACATAGAAAGAGAACTTTGGAGGAAGGAGAGACGGTTGCACCACTGGAACGAAAACACACTATAGCCAACATTTAGACTGACTACCCCATAATAGCTGGTCCGACCATGGAGTAGTTCTAGCCCTTAACCAAGCATATACAAGCCTTTAAACAAATGTTAGATCATAACCCCACTACAAGCTTCAAAAATGCCAAATTTAGTTATCCCTAAGTGATAAGCGGTGAAAAAGCAAGTTACGAAGATATGGAGGCTTTTTTGGCTTCTAAAGAAAAAAGCATAACACCTTAGCTTGCCACTACCTCAGCCCTAACATGATGCACGTCACGACCCAAAAATCCAAATAAAAAATATTGAGCCCTAACCGAACAAAAACTTAGAAGCTCAGATGCAAGCTATAGAGAAAGAGCTAAAGGCAAAAGTGGCCTTCGAGGACGAGTTAAAATTTTTGGAGACCTCACCCTTTATTGAGGAGATTGACAAAGTTGTGCCTCTCAAGAGGTTCAAAATGTCGACTTTAAAAACTTACAACGATAATTCTGACCCTTTTGATCATTTGAAACTTTATTGAGCTAACATTATGATGTAGGGTACGAACGAAGCTTTGATGTGTAAGGGTCTTGTTACCACCTTAAGCTTGTAACTCGATTATGTTATAGTAGTCTAGAACCTAGGTCAATCACAACATTTAAAGAACTCAACCACTCTTTCTTGTTCTAATTTGTGAGTAGTCAAAGAACGAATAAGACAACCTTGAGTTTAATGTCAATCCACCAATGTCACAATGAATCTCTAAAGAGTTATGTTATGCATTTTAATGCAAAAGCTCTGCAGGTAAAGGACTTGGAACAAATGTCCACTGTAGTTGCCTTAACAAACAGACTCAATGATAGAGAGTACTACTTGAAGTTGGCCTTGTCATTAGAGCAGCTTAAGACTTTGGTCGACGTCCTACTTGTAGCTAAAAAATATATAAATGCCAAAGCTATAATGAGAAACAATCGAGGTAAGAAAGGCTTATCCCCTTTCTTTGATCATAAAAGGTAAAAATTTTTATGATCCTCTCTCAAAAGGGAGACGACATAGGGCTAGAAGCCCTAGTAGAGAAAGAACTTATATAGCACTGAATACCTATTGAGAGAGGATTCTGACGTAAATTAAAAAGAATCTAGAGCTCAGATGGTCAAAGCCATTGAGACATAACATAATAAGAGATCCGATCAAAAATGCACTTTCATAGAAACATAGGCCACAATATTAAAGATTGTGTCGACCTAAAAAATGAGATTGAAACTTGATTAAGAGACGTTAGCTGAGAAGATTTGTCGAATAGCAAAGACAAGGGCAAGCCATATTGAGACACAGATAGGACCTAAAAAAACTTAGTAGGGACAAAGAAGGTAGGCCAAAAGAAAATAGAAAAAAAAAAACCTGAAAAGATGAGCTAAGATGGGAAGAAGGCCAAACTGACAACAAGCTAATCGCTAGAATGATTAATGTGATTATTGAATGAAGCTCAACCTTGATCGAAAAAAAGATCAAACTAAGAATAATCATGGCCGTGGATTTTTCAACAAAAAAAAAGATTGGAAATACGAACCGATCTTAGTTAGCTCTAAAGTTTTAGAAAGAATCTAATGCACACATGATGATGCTATAGTAATCATAATTATAAAATATAATTAAGTAGTAAAAAAATAACTATTTGATAATGGGAGCTTTACTGA